GAACCACCGATCGCCCTTCGTTGCTGTAGGATTAAGGTAAGAACTTCCAGCATGTAGAATCACCGAGAAATATGCGATCTGACATAAATTTTCCAAAAAATCTGAAAAATCGTGTACTAGGGTTTTCAAGCATGCTGATTCCATTACACAATTTTTTACGAGTGTTTTTACCTTTTTTGATGTTGCAATCACATTTCCGACAAATATATTAGGTTGTCGGATAATTTCTGTTACACTTCTTATTTTAATTCTTAAAAACCTCAGAAGCTTTGAAAAGATCTCATGTTCACGGCATATGGGCAGGGTCAAAAGCCTACTCAAGGGTACCGTCGCATCCGCGATCCGTGCGCAAAACGTCCACTTTGTGGCTGAAAATCCGTTTCTTCCGATTTTTGTAAATAAGCTGGCGTTCTCTCAGGTGATGAGCGATAGACCGGACAATGTGATAATCTGAAAGGGCATAGTTTGTAGAGCTTAGCTAATATGGGGGAAAAACGCAGACATGTCTGCACACGTTTTTCTGAGTGTTTCAAATTTCAGTGCGCGCTATGTTTGCAATCATCGAAATTTTTACAAAGAAAACGTCTTCAAAAAATCTCGAAAAATCATTTTTATGTTTTCCGTATTGATTTCTATTCAATGCACCTAAAAGGAAAAATTTAGGAAGGTTTTTGAATTTTTTTGATATTTTTTCCACCCCTCGTTTTTGAAACGCTAGAGGCACCAAAACGCCTCCATGTAAGAGACAATGCCAAATTACGTTCTAAAAAAATTCTGGAAGAGGAAAAGCGCAGGTAGATGCAGGAAAAAAGATCAAACAAAAACTGAAAAATTTGACTGCTCTTACAAAACTGCCGTAAACTTGTTGGTCATTAGTGCACTTGCGGCATCAATCATGCTGGTGGGTGGATCCTGCTGTGTCCTAAGCGTGTTGCAAATCTGAGGTTTTCAGAAAGCTTCTGGAATTTCCTGGAAAATTTAGAAAAAAGTGTAACAGAAATTATCCGACAACCTAATATTACGGTTTACCTGAGATAACTTTGGAAAGAAGCATCACAGTACAGTGGAAATTTCCAGTGTACTTGATGCGTGATTTGAAATCAGCGGCTTCCATAATCATAGCACAAGGGTTTTTAGCTTGTCTAGTTTTGTTTTGAGGCAGAATATGGCTTCCAATGGCCAAAAATCCTTGTCGAAGTTCCTACAGTAATCCTACAGTAATGAAGAGCGATCGGTGATTCGCTAAATAAAGTAAATCTAAGTTGAGGTCTCCTCTATAGAATGGCACTTGAAAGGTGTAAAAAGACGCAATGGGAAGAGAAATATCAACGATTGAAAAGTGTGTACTTACTTTTGGGACACCCTATATACCCTCACTGAGAGCTGCGATTGGATATACAGCGGTCCCAACAGTATGTAGATCTGTAGGCCGACGTCAATTTAGAGTATGGGGTATACAGCGGTCCTAACAGTATGTAGATCTGTAGGCTGACGTCAATTTAGAGTATGGGGCGATTTATCAATCGCTTTTCACTGTTGTAAAATAACCGTAAGACTTAAGCAGGTTTCAAACAAGAGCCATTTCCCAAGAAAAAGAATCAAAAGGGCTGAATTCTTGCTTTAGATTTCTAAGGACACTCACTTTATGTAGAATTTGCACCCAGCGTAATGCTTTTTTTCAAAATTTACGCCAGGTATCCTGTGCCCCCCAGAAAAGTTCCCACGTGAGCCAGCGTGCGTACGTGGTGCGACGCTGCCTTTCGCTCTTTTTGACACGTTTCTCCTGAGATTTCAACGGAACTGCCCGAGGTTAACACGTTCAAAATAGCGAAAGGCAGCGCCATGACGTGGTACCTATGGGTAATTTGCTGGGGAACAAACGATACACCGTAACAAGTGTTTTGCAACGCCTTTCAAAGATATGATTGCCATTTGCAAAGCTTGAAAACTCGTGCGTAGTAAAATCAGCATACGTAAAAACACTGCTGCACAGATTTTAGACCTTTTTTGGGGACAATTTTTGTGGATGTCTTATTTTCCAGTTGGTCTATAAGTTAGAGTTTCCTACTGTGATAATACACAATAAGAAAAACATGTGTGATTAGCTTTCTGCTGTGTTTATAAGCTGAAGCCATCCCTACTGGATGTTACCCAGAAATTGGCAAAAGACTTTGAGAGGTATTAGGACCAAATGGTGTGTAGATACTTTTAAGACATCCCGTATACGTTATGCATATCGAATTCTCGAATATTCGGTGCTTATCATTTTCGAATAGTCAATTCTTATCGAATTTCCGAATATTCGGTGCTCGACGAATATTCGAATATTTGATGGACATCGAATGATTGAATTAATGACTCTCGAATATTCGACTATCGAATAATATTCGAAATCTAAGAATTTCGAATATTCGACTTCCGAATAATATTCGAAAATGAAGATTTTCGAATATTCGACTATCGAATGCATTCGAAAACTGCAAATTACGAATATTCGACTATCGAATTTTATTCGAAATCTAAAATTTTCGAATATTCGATTTTTCGAATCATTCGCATTCGAATGATTTATTCGAATGATCGAATAATTATTCGATTCGGTCCCCAGTATAGTACACGGTATACATGGGTAATTCGAGAATTTTTCATCAAATGAGTGAATATCGAATAAATTCGAAAAGGAAAATTTCGAATAAAGGAATATCGAATAAATTCGGAAAATCAAAAATATCGAATAAATGAATTTCGAATAAATTCGGAAAATCAAAAATATCGAATGAATGAATTTCGAATAAATTCGGCAAATCAAAAATATCGAATGAATGAATATCGAATATATTCGAACATTGGAAGTCGAATTTCGAATAAATATTTGAATGATTTATCGAATAACTAAAGCAATCACATCTCAAACTTGCCGACATATCTGGCTAGAGCCGATCCAATCATAATCAGCCCCCCCCCCCCCTAGTAACCTCTATACCAACTCCTAGCTCAAAATTTTCCAAAAATTGCTGAAATCGATAAAATAGATTTCGATTTTAATCAGCATCCTCATTTACCCCCTGTACCAACTCCCAAACTCGTAGCTCGAGATTTTCCAAAAGTCGATAAAATTCGTAAAGTACAGGGCTCCTAAATTGCAGAGTCGTTTGCACCAGCGGTCGCGCGACTGCGTCGCGCCCGGGCATCAATAGCGCCGCCTCGATCAATGGCGCCGGCAAAATGCCCGGGCGCGACGCGGTCGGCGACCGCTGGTGCAAACGACTCTGCAATTTAGGAGCCCTGTAAATTTTTATCCATAATCAGCACCCTCACTTACCCCCTTGTACCAACTCTCAGCCCCGCAGCTCAAACTTCCCCAAAAACCGATAAAGTCGGTCGGTCGGCATCTAGTCCTACACATCAGCAAAAAGTCATATTTTACCCAATATGGACGATCTAAAAAACAGTCGATATAAATTTTTATGCTGTGCCCAAAAGATTCTTCTTCAAATGGTCTGAAAGAGACTGATGTACACCAGAATTAATTTTATTTCTTATCAGCAACAACAATGTAAAAGCAAAAGGCTTGCTCTACTTTCTACATCAATTAAAATCCACAAATGATTTTTTTAGTGTCGCAAGCAGTCGGAAGAATGCGACTCTCCATACAGTTCAAAGGTATAACGGTTGCAAAAGATGCATTACCGAGTTTTGCGGAAAAAAAACGCGGACGAAGTGAGCTTGATACTCAGCAGTTGGCTTTGCAACAAAGTCGAATAATCTGAATACGGAGTCATTCGAATACGAATTCGAATAAACATTTGAATAAAACATTCGAATAAAATCTATTCGAAACCCCATTTTTTGATTATTCGAGTTTTCGAATAATATTCGAAACCTCGTTTTTTGATTATTCGAGTTTTCGAATAATATTCGAAACCTCGTTGTTTGATTATTCGAGTTTTCGAATTTTATTCGAAACCCTGTTTTTTGATTATTCGAGTTTCGAATATTATTCGAATGGAAGAACTCCGAATATCGAATTTCGAATACGAATATATTCGAATGTTTTATTCGTATGATCGAATTTCTATTCGATTCGGACCCAAGTATAGTACACGGTGGGGGTCTACCGCTTGACATTTTGGTTACCCACCCTTGTACCAATCATCACTATTACTGTACCCGTCGTCTGCCGCGTGACATCTTCGTTACCACTGTACTACCCACCACCGTCACTTACTCGTTGCACAATTATCCGCTCTGGTTGCGACAAATAACCCATCTCCCCCTTGTAACAATATCAGTTTCAAAATATTTATAGAGTGTATCGGAGCGCAGAAGAATACAGCACAACCAGGAAAGTGACAGGAAACGATAGCGAAATTGCAATCAGCTGGTTCTACGTTGCTTATGTCAGTGACTTTCGAAATTATGGAACGACTCGTCCGCGTCAAGCGCAGCGCGAGCGCTCGCGCACCAGATTTTGGACTACTATAACGCATTGTTGGTTTAGAAGGGCCGTCTCCCGATTCTCCCTGACCCGTCAGAGGAGGCACGCCGCAATGTTATAACTGCTATAACTGCGAGGGTCCCCCAACAATTCTGCCTAACCATGGCGGAACGTGCTCCACTCAAATTTGAAATGAGAGGCCTTGGGAAATGGTGTTTTTGCCATTTTCGCGCTCTTCAAGGTGGATTTTCGATATCGGCATCTCGGATTACCCCAGGTAAGCATAAAAACTTCAAGTCAAGAATCTGCCGAGCCGCCGCCTTAACTTTGTGATTTGTCTTCATAAAGTAAAGACCGCTGCAGGACGAAGGCGCACGCAGTATTGGTCGAGCGAGCGCGAACGCAACGCGCGCGTATCTTCACCGTTGTAGATCCTGCTCCTTATGCGTTCCGCAGCTAATAAAGCCGCGGTCGCGTCGCGCCCGAAGATATTGCGTCTTCTCATGCAGCAACCTATATAGTCTATAGCGTCCATGGGCATACGCATTTCTGGAATAAACCTATCACATTGCACCAGTTTGATTTCCTAGTGGAGAAAGCACAGGGTTAATGGTCAAAACACAAATTTTACTGTCTGCTTGAGGTATTTATAGCACAAAAAAATCTTAATCGTTTAGAATGCCTTCTTAATAACTACAGCAGTCGAACAGAAGTTAACTTACAGCACAATTGCAAAAGAAGGCACAATTCTTTGATGATGATAAATCATTCATACAGGGAATACAACCAGCGTATTAGTATTATCTTAAGTAAAACTTCACCTACTCCTTACCCTGATTTGTCGAAGAGCATAACCGGCTAGTGTTACTTATGGGTCATATTTACAGTTTCTCTACTAAATAAAGAGTTCATCTAGAGGTTGCATCGGACATTGATCTACTCGAAACTAATATACAAATACAAGCAAATAAAACTAATAATGAAAGAACACTTTCAGATTTGTGAAACAGGGTGCGTTAAACTCTCCTTGCAATAAGCCAAATCACAAGAACCTCCTAGAACACACTTTGTATAATGATTCATGGGAATTACAATAAACTTGCCTATGCAAGATACTGATATTCATCATTTTGGTCTGTTCGTTGGATATACAATTTCTCTATGAGATCTTCTATACTTTTCTTGATAAACGCAACATCAGGCGTGAATCTACTTCTGGTCTGTTCCACAACCTGAAGAAGTAACGTAAAACGAAATCAACCACTGAAAATAATTTGACAAAGTTGAGATAATCCAAAAGTACCCTTTAATTATTATGTAATGAAAAAATCTTCACCTCACTGATCAAAGCGTTGTGTTTCAGCACTTTTCTTGTCTTCATAATTCGAACGATAGCGCATTCCATGTAGTACTTACGATCATGCGTAACCTTGAACAGCGAGCTGAACGCTCATATCATGCCTTTACATATAACATACCGTATTACTAACTGCCTCTGCTTCTTTTTCAGCGTTTTTCACAATCTGTGGCGCCGTAAGGCGGAATCTTAGACGTTTGCACGTCAAAGTTTTGTTCAGCGTCAACTCAGAAGACTCATTCAAATCCTGAAGCCAATGGACTTCACAAACACGATAAAAACACAAAACCTGACCTTGCTAGCCGTTGTCAGTATGTTAGCATCAAGGATTGACCGCACGTTTCGAATCAGAGCATCTCCAGATAAACCGGTCACAACAGACAAGTCCGCAATCTGAAAAAACACAATATAATGTGACCAAAAACAGTCTATGTCAATATAGTTTGATACTAATCAAAAGCAACTCAATTGAAAAGATATCAGTTCAGCCTATAGATAAAAGATGTCTCCAATAAACACTTACGGAAACAGTGTCTCTATCCTGGAAGCACAGAATCACAGACATCTGGTGCACACTCATAGACACCAAGTAAGGTTTATCCAGATAAGTGAATCGTAATTCGCCTAAAAACGTGTATGCATCTTGAAAAGAAATACGAGAAAGAGACAGTAGCGCACCATGTGACATGTTGAACAACCACGTAAGCTTTCTGCCATTATGCGCACCAATGTAGTATTTCTCGAACTCTGTGATAGATGGCTGCAGTACAGCCGGCAATATGAAAGACGTCGTCTCCGGATTTCCATTACTCGTCCCAGCTGAAAAGCACCCATAAATTCTTAGAAGTCAAATTACAAAACTGGAGAATTAGACAAGGGAAGACGGCGCTATTCCAGTATACCGACCCCAAAAATTAAAATTCTCGGATTTCGCTCAAACTCGGTATAGGGGGGTTATTCGACCCGCTGATGCCGAATATCGTATCGATTCCGTGCGGTAGCGCCATTTTCCGGGGGTATGGTGGCTGTTCGGTAGGGGGTCAAAATCACAAAATTCGCTGGACACGAATACGATATTCATTCATTACGGTAGCTCCTCGTTCCGGGGTTACGGTGGGTATACGGGGACAAAATCACAAAATTCGCTGAAACTCGGTGCAGGGGGTATCATACTGTAACATATTTGTCCTCCTGCAGTGCAGTATTCCCTAACCCAGAGATTCAAAGGCAACTGGAATTTTTATGTCGGTTTCACCAGTAATTCGTGGTTACCATTTTTCCAAGTTTGACGTTCATACTCCCAACCGCAAGCGGTACGGAACACTTACCTTACGGCATTTGATCTCACAGCCGACGGCAGTCAATCGAGAGCTATGGCAGTGTTCCGCGTCTTTGCTCTCCGACGCGTAGAGAAGGAACTCAGGGACTTCACCCTTGCCGACATCTATGAGAAGATGAGGATGGAGGAGAACGCATTCGAAGGATGGCTTAGGTCGATAGGACTTCTGCCCACGCTCAGATGCCCTTCCTTGTGGACGTCCGATGACGCTGAACGTAATCTACAAGCGTTGGTTCTGCCACAGGAGAGAATGTCGCACCGGATGGGACACTAAGCCAGCCGCATGGATAACGGCCGGCTCATTCTTCTCGAAGTGCAAGCAGCCGCTTGTCAAGCTTTTCGCTCTCTCGTATTTCTGGCTCCACAACTACGGAGTGGTAAAGGACATCGAGTACGAGCTGGGAATACGACACACCACTGTCGTCCAGTGGGAACAGTACTTTCGCGACATATGCTGCGAGTACTTCAGTAGGAATCGCCCAGTTCTCGGAGGATTCGGGCACACGGTCGAGATCGATGAGACGTGCGTCACGAAGAGGAAGTACGATCGTAGTCGGGTTGTACGTGTGCACCAATAGCTATTTGGAGGATACGAGAGAGGAAGTGGAAGATCATTCCTAGTTCTGGTACGACGACGCGATGCTCGCACCCTCCTGCGCCTCATCGTCAGATACATAAGGCCCGGAACCGCCATCGTCAGCGATTGTTGGCGAGCCTACAATCGCTTGTCAGCCCCTCCACAAGGTTACAGACACCTCACGGTCAATCACCATCTCAACTTTGTGGATCCGACGACTGGGGCGCACACTCAGAACATCGAGGGCCATTGGCAGAGGTTCAAACGCCTCGTCAAGCAGAAGTGCGGGATCAACAACAGCTGCTATGCAGATTACCTGAAGGAGTTTTTGTGGAGGCAGATGTTCGGCAAGCGGGAAGAGTCCCTGTTTCACTTCTGGAAGCAGGCAGCCGAGTTGTACCCGGTTCCCTGCTGAAAACATACGCTATCCCAAAGGCCCTCATTAGCACCTTCACAAATATTCAGGAGAGATTTTCAGGGTTTTCAGGATGAGTTGCATGGAATGCTCACATAAGATCAGAGGGGAAACAAATTCTTGATGGAATAAATTAGAAAAAATGGTGACCGTGATGTTATCCGGCACAGAAGTCTTGGCCCTTTCATACCCACCGTAGCCTCGATGACAGGTTATCGTAACGAATGAACATCAAAATCGTCATTAGCATCTCAAGTAACCCCCCTGCACCGAGTTTCCGCGAATTTTGTGATTTTGACCCCCTACCGCCGCACACCCACCGTACCCCCGAAAAATGGCGCTACCGCACGGAATCGATACGATATTCGGCATCAGCGGGTCGAATAACCCCCCCCCCCCGCCTTATACCAAGTTTGAGCGAAATCCGAGATTTTTAATTTTTGGGGTCGGTATACTGGAATAGTACCGGGAAGACTTCCAGAGCCTTTAACTCAATGAATTTTCTCTTCAGAATGCTATTTTTCCATTGACGGCTTGCACCAGGACGGTATTTTGTATTAGCACACAATTCATGTATCAAAGCATGCAGTCGCCACGGAAATTAGTATTTCCAGTGCATTATGGGCATTTCAGAGGCGCAATAACCACTTATTAAAGGCATCCGGCAAATCTGGGCCTATGGGGAACTCACTTGAAGGGTAGTCTTGGAGCCCTAAGTAAAACACTGCCCAAGCGGCAGCTCGAATGGTGAGCTCACAGTTAAGATAATCGCCTCCAAACTGGACCTCGTGATCGTATTCGCATGGCTTCATGGCGCGACACATCAGTTTCGCGCGCGAGTACCCACATGTGTCTCGCCATGAATCTTTGCGAATACGATCACGAAACGAATATCTCAACTGTGAGTCCACCATTTGAGCTGCCGCTTGGGCAATGTCTTAGTTAGGGCCCTAAAATTACTTTCCATCAGAATAGCATTGGTCCAGATTTGGACGCTGCCTTTAAAACGAATAATTAACAATTCGATATTAACTATTAGCAAGAATGTCTACACAGCAACAGAAAGCAAAATGAAAAATCAGTGTTCAATTTAGAAGTTTGATTATGATCCCAAGATAAGCAAACTGAAGTAGAGTATGAACAATATGTTAAAAAGCAGGAGAGAATACTTGACATACAGAGGAATTTACCTTGAGGAGCAGATAATGGCCACGATCCGGCTTGCAGTACTAATGGCTGCATTGATACTCCGACGGAGGTGTGAGTGCTTTCAAGATGCTAAAACGAGGTTAACAACAAAACTCACTTGCAACCTTATTACCTTGTTGAATTTATCAGCCAATTCGCCGCTCAGCCCTATGTCAGTAAACATACGCGATAACTTGCTGGTAAACTCGTAACCACAAGCTTGCTGAAACAGAATACGTCAACTATAAGACCATAATGAACAACGTTAACCTTCAATTTATTGATCATAGCCTCTTCCGCATCCATTGCAACAGAAAATCCCATGATAAGTCGTGACGCCAACATCTTTGAGTAGTACTAAATCAGCGTGATAAGCCGAGAAAATGTTTCTAGTAACACGACAAGATAAATGGCTCCTATTGTATAGCGTAGTGATTTTGTAAGGTTGATGGATAGAAAGTTGCTTGGACCATATTGCAGCCTCAACTCACCTTTTGAAAAACATCTTTGTCTTCAATGTACCGGAAGATAACTATGGCTTTACTCAATTGTTGATCTACTTCTAATTCACTCATTCCTTTTGCAGATTTCCTCAGTAAGTTGTCCGTATATCGAGCCAGCTGAACAAATGAGATGAACTGCTGGATACATACCACAAAACCTGCTACTCACCCTTTCGCTGGCTTTAGGAGGTCCACTGCCTTCCTTCACATTCACAACACTTTGTAAGGCCTAAAAGAACATATGCAGCTGGTAACTTGCAACTCATGCACCTCAAAAAAGACACATTTTCTAGGATGGGACACTATGTTAGAACGTATCGAAAGCTGTACGACGCCTATTGAAACACGTAGCTTTACAAAATGAAACCTTATCCAGAGCTCCTGCAAAATCGCCGTCATCCATAAAGACCTCGGTTTTCATCGCGTGGAATTTCTCGTGTACCTGAAACGAAGTGAAAATAAATGTGCATTCACGGCTTGGGAGTATATAAAGTTGACCTTCAACACATTATCAACGAACTGCTGGGGAACATTTTCTCCGGTTATGGTAGATACCAGATCCAGACCCTTTTTGCGGACATACTCCTCAAATTCTTTTGCCATAACGAGTAAACCAGAGGGGATCGGTTTTAACAAACGGTACATATTTCGCAAATCTGCAAAGCAAATGAAAGTAAAAACTTTGAATGGGATGAGTTTGTCACCTTTCTTTTCTTCGTTAGTGATGAGCTCATGGCAAACTGCATGCAATTTATCCTTATGCGCATTGATCATGACATCCTGGCACAAACGTATCACCTATAAATAACGCTGAGCATGTTTATGCAGATCATAACTTCAAATAAAACTAGAAAAGCTTTATCTTTGAAGGAAAAAAATGTATCTAAGAGTTGACAGTTTGAAAGGATTTCCAACCCACCTTCGATACAGTTGATTGACTGACGTAAGTGGCCGAACGTCGTTCTTCAGCCTCTAATGCTTCGATAACCTGAACGAGACAATCAGAATGAAATGAGATCACATTCAAATTCTTGTCAGAAATCCTCTACAAATAAATGAGCATGAAGATACAGACAGCTATGAATTTCAGATAAACACAAAAACACATATATCCTTACTGCTTCCATATACTTGCTGCAAGTCAAATCAGCGAGAAGCTTCTGTGCCAGTCCTGAGTAATATTCTTCGGTTGATGCGAGGAACCTGAACATAGATTCTAAGAGCACTGGCTTCTTACAAGGAGAGGATACTTAGTCGAAAGCACCAATCCAGATTAGACATATATCATCTTAAAGCGCTTGAAACGCTGATTCCAAATCTGTAGTTCTTAGCAGCGGAGCGATTTTGTAGAGGGAGTTATGAGGCTGTTTTCTTTTGGGTTTGAGGCGCCCTCCAGCAGATATCCCCCTATCTATGAGCACTGTAGAGGATTCAGAACAGGTGCAACTGGCTTAGTGGTAAGTGACTTGCTTGATAAGGAGAGTGTCAAGGTTTAGTCCCCTTCGCATGCAACTTAATCGCGATTTTTGCGAAGTTGAGCTTCTAGATGGCTTTAGAGCCCTAAAGCCTGAAATAGAAGTGTTATAAAACCAAAGTAATACGACTGTTATAATCCTTACGTAATCCTCATTCAAATTACTTACCACTAGGCCAGTTGCCACCAGTTGGTACTCCTCTACAGTGCTCATAGGTAAGGGGAGACCTGCTGGAGGGTGCCTCAGCCCCAAATGGAAACACCCCTCATAACTCCTTCTACAAAACCGCTCCGCTGCTAAAAACTACAGATCTGGAATTAGCGTTTCAAGCGCTTTAAGATGATATATGTCTAATCTGGATTGGTGCTTTCGACTAAGTATCCTCTCCTTGTTAAGTGAATTTTCGTAGAGAAGATGCCTAACCTCGATTCGAATGCCTCTTGATAAAACTCTTTTGGAGGTTCTCGGTAGTTCAGCTTTACTCCCAAAGAAACTGGCTCACTTGGAGAGTATTCAAATTCTTCAATCTGAGCACCCATAGATATTTTGGAAGAGCAGAACAAAATCTAGCGCTAAGGCAAACAGATAAAAACTATACATATCGTAAATATACCTGCAGGAATGAAGAGATCACACCCGCGATCACATCCTTATTAGATGGAACATTACCAAGTCGATCTTGACCAATGGCAGCGAGAAGTAGATTCACCAACTTATCAAGAATTGGCTCGATAAGCTGTTCTTTCCAAATATCCATTGCTAGCTGAAGGTACGATATATGCAGCAGAATGGAAAGGAGGAGAAGACAAAATAACTAGATAATATTACCAAATACAAACTCACACATCCAATCTCTTTCACATCAGGCTTTTGGAGAAAACTTGCATAATTGGCATATGCATCACCCTCAACCGAGCGTTTTGATTTCACAAACTGGTTATTCAGATACCTGAATCAGACATGAGGTAAGAAGAAAAAGTATTATGTGAAGTTAGTTAGGTCAAGACATGAGGTAAAATGCATGAGAGATTAAGTTACCCAAAAAGGCGATGAACGTAATGAGCTCCTTTGTAATAAACTTTCCACATTGAGTAGTACTGATTGAGCAGCTCATCTGATGGGACATTGGCTATTTTCTAGAATGAGACATGTCATAGCCTGGCAGCTTAACAAGAGAAAGAAGAAACTAACATCATAAAGACTCTTCACGTGCATTTCAATACAACTTCTCATCGATGAGTATAGGCGGCTACTGAGAGGATCGGGGATAGCCACACAGATATCATATACATCACTATAAAACATATGTCGTGGTAAATCCAATTAGGTTAACAAAAAAAGGCGATAATCATGTTCCTCGCCCCCAAGTGCCCCAATACATCAAGTTTCTGTACCGGTTCGCTATTATGGTATTTGCATCTTGCAGCTCAAAAAACCATTTCCATATTCGCCTCTACCAATTTAGTTCCAACATGAATAAGTGCACAGACTGACAGTCCATGCCTAGATACTGCATGAGGTAAAAGTATAAGACATTTTCATTTTAGTAGTGGTAGGCTGCACCCTGTTCTCTTTCAGCGGATAAATCCCACATTTTCTTACGGCGGAAATGGATGGTTACTTTTCAACAGTTATGAAGACTGGGTCATGAAGAGCATAACTAATGATCTTTCCAATGGTTGATAGAGCTATCACCGCATCATATAAACAAAAAAGGAAGCTATTTTGAGATTAAACACAACTAGCAAAGTCATCCCGATCAGCTATGACAAGAGAACAATATGTCGATACAATAACACAAGTCATGGACGCATACAGTGCAGATTCAGCCCCTTTGGAAGCGCCGTCCACCAGAACTGCGGGTTTTGAGATTTTGATGCTGTTTAATAGTGGCACCCCCCAAAAACCACTTCAGTTCCACTGCAAAAGATAGTTGAGAAGCGGGAAATCCTCCCTAAGAGGTAGAAGCGGCGATGGTGCTTTCGCATTTTTTTCAGACCATCCAAGCTGCTGAGCGAAGCCACTATCACTCCTTTCATTTTCTGGAGCGAATTTCTCGCTTCGAATTCCATCTTTTGCAGCGAGACCTGGGCAATTACTTAGTCGAGGCTACTATACAGCATCAGATCAACACCTTCACTTTAGGTGGACTGTGCCTTAGAGCGTTTTGATGAATCTGAGAGTAGAACGCAGGCTCTGCGATAACGCAGTCCAAGCAGATAAGAAAACCACTGAAGCATAGGTACGATTATGACAAAAAACAACAATAATACAAACTAAACTCACTGGAACTTGTCATCCCAGTCTTTCTTGGTCATGGGGTGCAAATTCATGATCTCAATGACAGATGGCTGAAGATTTCCCCATACTTTGTCGAAATCAACGGATTTCGGTCCCAAAGCATACGCTGCCATTGGCGCGCTGCTTAGTCTGGAATCTGCTACACAATCAGAAACCAAAAGAACATGTTCTTCAAAATGCCAAGTGTATATTTAATATCTGATACAGGTACGATATGAAAATCAGAGCAACAAGCTGTTTAAGAAGCGACACTGGTTGGCACTCGAGGTGAATTAACGTCGTGAGGCAACTGTGCATTTCTAACAGAGATAAACTACTTCAGACAGAGATTTTTCCTCTAATAAAGACCAATTCAGCACTAATACAAACCAGCGAAAGTAATAAAGCAAAATTTATAGGAGAAGATGCCCCCGAGGCAGCTGCAAGCTGGCGGATGATTTCTTAAAAACCATGCGCCAATGAGAATATTTGTCAGTGCGAATAGAGCGCAGTATTGCTCTGAACATCAACTTGAAGGAAATTCTCAGCACTGACTTCATTCATTCCAAGGCCAACAAACTCGCATACGCTTTGCACCGACTGTCTAAACAATCTTGTCCATGTAATCCACTTTATACTTGTGATTTATTTCATTTAGAGGATACTGCTCCAAAATAGACAACCAGAAAATGCAAAATTCCGGATTTCGCCAACGTTTGCACAGAGGGGTTATTTGAAACGGAATGACACTCATTTTGCATGAAAGGATCTCAAGACCTTTTGTGGGATTACGGTGGGCGTACGGTAGGGCATTAAAAACAAACGGGCAGACCATATATGGTTATGATAGGTACAGTATGCAACCCGGATTAGGCGAAGCATCTGCAGATGCTTATCTTCCATGGAGTGGAACAGCGGGTTGCATCGGTGGAAGCTTTGCGAGCGCACGCGCTGGCATCTTGCCAAGCAAAGACTGAAGATTATGAAGAGACAGATATGGGTTCTTATGTTAGCAACATAAAAATACTGTAGTTGCGAAACGGGGCGAACCTTGCGAGGCAGACGCCCGTTAAAGGCAGTGTCCGGGCAAAAACTCGATTTTGAGATTTTGTGCTTACTTGGGCCTACTCGCTACGCTGAATCCGAAAATGCACATTGTAGAGCGCGAAAATGACGAAAAAGGGCTCTAATACTGGAGGGGAATGAGCAGGTGGGCGGGGTCCTCCCCACTGCGAATTCACGTTCCCGGCTTCCGGAGCGGCCTTCTCGCTTCCGGTTTCAAGTCAATCACTCGCACTTGACCGTTAGGATGGCTAGCGGAATCGAGAAAATCGCTCCGGGAGCTGAGAGCGTGAAATCGCACTGGGGAAAGCTCCGCCCACCTGCTAATTTCTCTCCTGTGTTAGAGCCCTTTTTCGCCGTTTTCGCGCTTTCCAATGTGGATTTTCGGATTCAGCATGGCGAAAAGGCCCGTATAAGCACAAAATCTCAAGATCGAGTTTTTGCTCGGACACTGCCTTTAATCCAATTTCCGCCTAAACTGAAGTGAAATCTACTGTACAGGGCTCCTAAATTGCAGAGTCGTTTGCACCAGCGGTCGCTCGACCGCGTCGCGCCCTGGCATTCTGCCGGCCCGGCGCCATCGATCGAGGCGGCACCATTGGCGCCCGGGCGCGACGCGGTCGCGCGATTGCTGGTGCAAACGACTCTGCAATGTGGGAGCCCTGTACACGGCAGCGCGGTCGAGAATGGATCGCGAAGTTTATGAAAGTTACTTACGTGGGTTTATAATAATATGGAAGTGACTTGATTAGATACTTGTAAATGACTAAAATAATTTTTGAAACTTTTGAAAAACACAAACCTGTGAAAATTTTTTTCGGTCCTTGGCTGCCTCCATGCCCCTTTTCCTAAAATTTTGGGTGGCGGGCCTACAAAATTTTCCAATTTTTTCGCTCGTGCAACCCTCCCTCCTCTCCAGTACGGAACTCCTGCGGCCACTGGTATTCGGTGGAAAGGGGGGTCAAACTCCAGACTCCAAAGCCGACGAAATGAGAGGGTCCGCTATGCGTACTCCTCGACATGAGAGCAATCACCGTGCGATTTGCCAATACGTACCTACAGTGACCGCCAAGAAGTTGCGGATAAGCCGCCTTCCTTTTTTCATCGCTCATTTTCGGGTGGAAAACAAAGATGAAAAAATGATAGAATTGCATGAAGTGATAGAGCTCTTTAAGAGCTACAATCCACACATTGCGCTTTCTGAAAAATGTTTATTATAAAAATTTTAAAAATCTTTTCCTAAAAAAAGTCCGAAAATGGCCGCGTCACAATGTCGCGGGCATTACTTCTTCGAACGCGAAAAATTTCTTTTAGGTCTTTTCTTGGAGCAAAAACAGAAGTTTTCCGGACAGGTAAGCATACTGTGTTGTAGAGCTCATCAAGAACAACAATCGGGTAGTGGTTACTTCTAAAAAAACCCAAGCTTTAATTTTATTTTGCTTTTTTTTCAAAAATAACTTACAATTCCCTTTTAAAGCCAAATTTCTTTACATGGGAACCTATTCAAGATATCCCAACAAAGCTAACTGGATGAAATAAATGCTTTTTGACACCTTCTATGCATCCGACGTGTGCTGTTGAGTTTCTTTGCCAGAAATGGCTCTCGACAGTGAGTGCACATGACCCCATCTGCACCTCACCACTGACTTGCACCGCTTTGCAGGCTTGTAGCTCGGCCGGCAGTCAATCTACGAGCCTGCACATAGGCTCATTCGAAAGAGCGTGAGTTTGTCTACACGATGATATGCAAATGAGGTGGGTATAGAAAGTCCCGGAAAATCTGCGGAGGGGTAATAAAACGCAGCTTCAGTTGTAGGCTGAGGATTTTTCAGTTGAAGTTAAGCAAAGCTCCTTTCGCCACCAGTTCTATCCTGGAAGTTTAAAATTGTTAACTTTCTTGTAATACACCCATTTCGGAGCTCTAAGACTGTCCTGGTGTTGATAAGAGCGTTTACTCCATTCGCTTCTAGGGCTGTGCTTTGGCACCCCGTCCGTCAAATCTTCGGGATTTCTCAAACCCACCTCATTTGCATACCATCGTGTCGAGAAACTCACGCTTTTTCGAATGAGCCTATGTGCAGGCTCTTAGATTGACTGCCGGCCGAGTTACAAGCCTGCAAAACAGTGCAAGTCAGTGGTGAGGTGCATGTGGGGTCATGTGCACTCACTGTCAAGAGCCATTTTTCAGCAAAGAAACTCAACAGCACACGTCGGATCATAGAACATGTCAAAAGGCATCCATTTCATCCAATTAGCTTTGTTGGGATATTTGAATAGGTTCCCATGTGAAGAAATTTGGTTTAAAAAGGGGAATTCCAAGTTATTTTTGAAAAAAAAGCAAAATAAAATTCAAGCTTGGGTTTTTTTGGAAGTATCTACTACCCGATTGTTGTTCTTGATGAGCTCTACAACATAGTATTCTTACCTGTCCGGAAAACTTCTGTTTTTGCTCTAAGAAAAGACCTAAAAGAAATTTTTCGCGTTCGAAGAATTAATGTCCGCGACATTGTGACGAGGCCATTTTCGGACTTTTTAGGAAAATATTTTTAAAATTTTTATAATAAACATTTTTCAGAAAGCGCAATGTGTGGGTTGTAGCTCTTGAAGAGCTCTATCACCTCATGCAATTCTATCATTTTTTATCTTTGTTTTCCATCCGAAAATGAGCGATGAAAAAAGGAAGGCGGCTTGTCCGCAACTTTTTGGCGGTCACTGTACGTACCTGACTACTGAGCTGACTGGACCCCGAGGCAGATATCTGCAAGCTGCAGGATTTGATTGCCGAGTACAGCGCATACCAGTTCGGGCGGAAGGGTGGTGTTGTCAAGGATCAGCAAAGCGCCCGTCCGAGCTGAGATCGTAGCTCCTATCCAGAAAAAGGAGCAACATCGACCACAGCTGCGACACAATCGCCCATTGAATAGTAAGGATCCCTGTGGACGTTCCCGTTGTAAAGGTGTGCCACACCTGTGGGAACAGGGGACTATGGGAAAAGACTGCACGTCACGAAACTGACCACTCGGCCGCCTCTTCATGAAAAAAGTTGTGACGTTGCTGATCTCCCACCGTCATTACGTAAATTCAACCTGGAGGATGAAGACGCTACTCGGCCTATGTGTTACAAAGCCGCAAGACATGGTCTGAATTAGAATCGCCAAATTCAGCTCGCCGAACTCAAAGCTGCGAATGGGCCGTGGATCGAAGCATTTGGGTTTATGGTACCGTCAGGATGAACTCGATGGTCGTTTTTTATTTTACGTCACCAAGGACTTGTGTTTGCTGGAAATGGACATACTTCAACAGCTGCTGCCCTTCCGAGACGCTTTCTCCGCTGTTTGTTGCGAAACGTCCTCCCGTTGGACGACCGTCATACGGCTAAAATCCCAAAAATTTTGAAGGCAGCGTCCCGGCAAAAAAATGGGTGCCGGGTCTTTGTGGCGATGTTAAAGTAGACCCTCTATCTAAGCAATGACTGAAGTTCGGAGCGAAAAAGAGGGTCTATCAAGCCTGAAATTTGCTCCAAAAGTGGCCCGGATCTTACGTACTAGGCCGAATGCCGCCCGCGCAGCGATTCCGAACTGCAAGGCCAGAGCACGCATAGCGCACACAGACATGAGCGCAGGGTCCTGAAACGACTCTGCGTCTCTACCTTGCATGCACCTCGCACTCGCCCGAGCCCACCGTAAGATCCGGGCCATTTGGGACACTGTGATTCACACAAGGACTGAACCCGAAATAAAATTCAAATCCTCAGAAAATTGAAAAAATCAAATCTTTGTTTGAAAAATCCACGAAACTAACTTCTTCTAGTATATTGTGTTACTTTCATTGCTAGAAACTGGAAAAATAAAAAATTGCATGTTTTCGTAAAAGCTGTCCTGAGCTGTCCCTACATAGACAGAGACCTTTGTGAGTGCTACTATATATTTTGAGCCTTTTATGTGCTTTACTTCTCGATAATAACGAATTTAGCATGAAACAATACGAAAAGGGAGCATTTTCTGGGTTTTCCATGATTTTGACCCATTTTCGTTTTTTCCGTTTTAGCCACGGATAAATTCAGCAAAAAGGATAAATTCATACATGAATGTCTGATGAGAGGATTACATACATGAGCAAGTTAGAGGTCAGTAGAAGTTTTCTGGGATGAGATGGCTTTCTCGGTCATTTGAAAAATTTTGAATTTAGGTTGTATATTCCAGTATCAAAGTTTTGCGATCTTTCGAATGTCATCTTGTAGAGTTTGCGTTGCTCTATCAAACAGTCGCTTGATTTCTAACTTAGAACGCTGAGGTAAGCCGATTTGCCGATATGAAAAGACTTAACAATCTAATATTACACACACTAAGAAAAAAAAATGCACTTTTCACTTTTGAGAACGTATCTGTCGAAGTATACACTCCGCTATCCCTGAAGTCGCTTGCTGCCAAAATGGTCTCAAAAAGCTTTCAACTGATCGATCGACAGCACTAAAAGCTGAAGAGACTTTCAATGAGCTTTTAGACAGTCTAAGAATGCATGACAATTTTAGACAATCTTTAGGCAATCTTCGTATAAAAGCTTTGCATTATGATGCTTCAGAAAATTCCGATGCGCATAATGCAGCTATTTTACCTCGTGCTCGTGATTCTAGCTCCGCTCATGCTTGTGGAAGCAGCACCAGTATCAAAAGTACCACCAGCACCAGAAGGCGATGTGTAAGTTCAACGGATAAAATGCAATGACCATCAATTTCTTCTGCGTCAAAGATGTTCTCTTTTCAGGGTTCCGCAAAAGATTCATTTCAGTTGGCCAGGCATTACTATCAACTGGAAGGGTTGATTGCAGAGTGGAACATAAAAGGACAAAGACAACAATTTTCACTAATTTAGATTATTCTGTTGTACGGAACAGAAAAAAAGTAAATATTTTTGGAAATACGAAGAAAAGACCACGGATGCCGCATAGACTAGCTTTTAGTGCCTCGATGAGCACAGTAATTTGTAGTTAGTCAGACAATCGCCGGGGGCAGGCGGCCATGCAATTTATGGGCGGGCAGGCACCGGAAAAATAGTTCGCTGATTTCTTGCGGTCCGCTTGCAGATATTTGGGAGAATTTTAGCGAAATTTTAGACGAATGTTTGGAGAACAATCGCGGTTTCCTTATAGATTAGCTGCGGCGCAGTGGCCGCATTTTCGCGGACTTTCCGCGAGAATATGCAAAATTTTCAGGGGCCGCACGGTCCTTTGTGGAGGACCGCGCAGCCCCCAGGTACTTTCCGCTGAAAGAAAGAGAGAAAGTACCTCAAACTTGAGTAATTAAACCATCAATGACACCTCTGCCATGTAGAGTCTCACCTTTGCTCGGCGTACGCCCGAAACTGCTTGAAATAAGTCCGAGCGCCTGCTGAAAGTTTGGCCAGCGCTCGCTGAAAGAGATTATTTGACGAGCGCTGCAGAAAATTCTGTGTTGCTGCCTGCTGGCAGAACATTAGACAGTAAAGGAAATACCGCTCGCTGAAGATTTAGCCACGCCCCAAAATTCCGCTGACCGCTTGCAGAAAAGCGCGAGTTTGCGGACCGCCTGCCCCCTGCGATTATCTGAGTAGTATAGTCGATTGCCACTTTCTTTGAGTGCTAGATTTGGAACGGTATGTATCAATCGCATGTCCGGGCAAGGGTTCCCATTCGATAAATCCGCTTCATAGCTAGATGCTCTGGGGGTTTGTGTTCTTCCTCGTTTGTCCATCTTTTGAAGGCCCTACTTCCCTATTGTAGCATGTATAGCAGCAGGCAAGAGCAGCATGCTGTGCGCTCGAACCTGCTCCGCTCTTATGTTTGGGGTGCGAGCAACTTTCCATGTCAAAATTTCGGAATATTCTGTTTTGACGGGCTGCTGCCTCTAAAGGACGTTGCGCTATAGGAGGATTGTCTAATTCGACGCATTGGTAGCAATCTTGAACATAACGGTCGCAGTAATCGTGGATGAACATGTCAGTGAACAAAGACCAGTTTCTATCAATTTCCATGCACTACCTATGGCGCATTCCCCAGAATCGTTCCCATCAACGTGGTTTCCTTTCGATCGTTTTAATATGTCAAGTTCGAATATGCTCTAATTTGCTAGAGTGGGTGGTATCTATGGAAGCAACTTTGGGGGAGCACGATACACCCGAGAAGCCTATTCCTCGGCAGCCTTATTCGCGAGCATAGATGCCGCGCATTTATTTACAGCTGGTCATCAACGATGAGGACACAAGAGCGCAGGGGCCATTGACGGCACAGAACTGCAGATGCGCCACTTGGAGACTTTGTCATCTGTACTTGTGTTCTATTACTGCGAGTGCCTCACCAGTTTTTTAGCACGAGTTTTGTCGCGTGTCAAAGCTACACAACTATATACATAATCATTACATGATTTCGACTCAAATTTACCCTACGCTGCATTTTCGCCCGTTTTGCGCTGTGCAGGACAAATTGGAAACTCGATTCACACACTCTGACATTCGTTGCGTACCAGCGGCATTCCTAAATGGCTTAGCGTACCAGCGGCGTTCCGTAATGAGCGATACCAGCGCGTACCGTTGTGACGACGAGCGGCGTCCTATCAATGCAAGCAATGAGCGGCTCCCATCACATTACCTCACGCTGTAAGCATAAGTTGTACCCGCTATAGTTGTAACGAACAGAAATTTTCGCCGAATGAACGAATTATTCGAATACCAGTGCGTCACCTCTGTTTCGCAGAGGCTCGCACTGGTCCTACTCTATATGCCTTACTGAGGAGTTACGGGGAGGGCTATTTAAATTCCTTTACTCCGTCTAAAGATAGGGACGAAACGGAGTTTTTGATTTCTGTTTTTATTTTTATTCTATTACCTAATAGAATAGTTTCTTGTCATGGGATTTGTTTTACTCATTCTCGCCTAATGATGCTTTGAAACTCACCGCGCTATGCCGACTGTCACGAATGAAATGTAAACAACTACTCATTGCAAAAGCTTTTTCATGTGAGATCAGTGATTTCGCGTGGATGGAACTTTTCGCAGAAAAACAAATGCAAATTTGAATAGGTTTTGGAAATTTTGCCTTGGTGGCCGCTATAAGGACACTAATCACCGTGAGCTACATCCCTATGCAAAAATCTTTTCAAATCCTCAGGTATAAGCACGGCGGATTGACCATTTAAGCAACCACTTCTATTTAGCGTCGTTTTCGTAAAGTAGCAGACCTTTGGTCACCTTTTGATCCAAAGTCCATGGCTTGCACATTAATATGCCGAATACATCGACGAAGCAAAAAGCTTGGATCGCACCCAATTTTGCGTGCCAGAAGCCAAGTAGATCCGTCTGACGCGCAAGTTTTGAGGGACCCACCCAATGAATCCGCTCGTGATTTTGCATGGTGGAGTTCTACGCTGACAGCATGCGCTATGCAAAATTTGCGCTCAGAACGTTTGCTGGAACACTCTCTATGAATTTCGTTACACACACACACACACACACACACACACACACACACACACACACACACACACACACACACACACACACACACACACACACACACACACACACACACACACACACACACACACACACACACACACACACACACACACACACACACACACACACACACACACACACACACACACACACACACACACACACACACACACACACACACACACACACACACACACACACACACACACACACACACACACACACACACACACACACACACACACACACACACACACACACACACACACACACACACACACACACACACACACACACACACACACACACACACACACACACACACACACACACACACACACACACACACACACACACACACACACACACACACACACACACACACACACACACACACACACACACACACACACACACACACACACACACACACACACACACACACACACACACACACACACACACACACACACACACACACACACACACACACACACACACACACACACACACACACACACACACACACACACACACACACACACACACACACACACACACACACACACACACACACACACACACACACACACACACACACGTAAACACCCTTAGCCCGTTATTATAAGTAATGATAGGCCTTTCTCATTTATTCGACTATTCGAATAATCGAATAAATGGACTTTCTCAGATATTCAACTATTCGAATATTTGAATAGTCGAATATTTCGAATAAATTAATTAAACACGAATATTCGGTTGCTAACTATAGTATCCGCATGGGATACGACGCAGTGATTGGGCTGTCTCAGCATTTATGGGGCTGGTCAACACTTCTCGGTTCTTGTCAGGAAATGTTATGGTCTTATTGAGTTGACCTGACGCTTTCGGCTGAGTGTTGTGAGGACATGATCCACCAATTTCGATCAACGAAGTCCATCAATCGAAAGAAGGATTTTTTGCGCTGATTTCATCCTAATAAAACTTGCCGAAATAGCAATTTCCTAATCAGCTAATGCTTGGGTCAAATTCATTTTCCTATCAGCGGAGTTCCACAGCGTACAAGCGGCGTGTGACTGCCCTACCAGCGGCGTTTGCGTGTTCCGCTCAGATGAGCATCGAATGCCATTGGTACGCAACGAAAGTCAGAGCACATCAAAATGCGTGTGTTGCAAGTAAAAACGGGCTACGAAAACAAAGAGTTGCTCCATCAACGCGTCGCGAGGACTCTTTTGTTATCATCGCTACCGTTTGGTGCCAAGAGTGCTCCAAGATCTTCTAATCGCTGATGAAAAGCAACATTCGTGGACCATTATAAAGCTCTATGCGTCGCGAGAGTTTTTGAGTTTGCGGCCATTGCTTAGCAAGATGCCACAAGTCTCAAACCAGTTGAACAATCCCGTACTTTTCGAATTCGTTTTAGTAATTATTTGCTAACATCTGGTCGCAGAAAGGCGTTTGAAAACAAGAGTCGGAGAAAGATAACTGAGAAAGCTCAATGCTCGTGCAATGGTTACAAAGTCATAAACTCATCTACCTAACTGGACGATGCCGTGGCCAGGAAGGACTCGTGAGGAGCATGATGCAGACGTCTTCAAGCTGTTCCAATGTTTTCAAGACTATGGAAAGCGTGTTCACTGTCAAAATCGCTATTTTGCTACGGCTAGTGTAGTAATATTCGATATCGTTGCCGACGCGGAAGGAAGACTCCCCGACCGAAGATTGCCGCCGTCCCAAGATGTGAAGCAGCTCGAATCTTACTTTGAGTGGTTTCGTTTTACTCTTCTATTGTGCCAAGGATTATTGTTGTGTAACCTCTAAAGTCTTGTTAATGTTCTATTAATCCATGCGCGGGAAGAGAGCGCTATAAATATAAGGCGCTACAGACAATTTATTCGTATCGTAGGCCATCAGTTCGTATTTGCAACCAGCAGATAATAAATGTATTATTCACAAAGTTCCGGCAAAGTACAAGTGCAAGTATAAGTACGATACACGACGTTGACTACAACAAGCTAAAACTTAAGTTTTGCTAAAAACCTTGCCCAAGAGTTTCCTAAGTGAAAAAGGCATCTTTATTCAAGATGATACAAAAAATTCACTTAAAATTTTTGAGAATTTTCTTGCAGCTTGGCTTTTAATCATAGGAGAGCATATGAACAATAGCTAGAATTTGTATTCTATTAGGTTGTCCCGAAAGTTCATTCGCACCATTTTCAAAAATCCATAACTCTTTAAATTTTCAAAGAATTTGTATGATCGAAATTTTGCGTAAGAGAGGAACTCCTGCTCTTTGTACCTGTACCTGAATAGTTCGTTAATGTGTACAAATGAAGGAGATAGAAGCTCAAAACCAAAACCACTCAAAATTTGAATTTTTCGTGTAGGGTCATAAAAAGTCGAAAACTTGCAACAAAAATCGGAGCAGTCG